TTAGCATAACCATGTAGATTATTGCAACTTGTGCTATCAATTATATGTATTTAGGTAATTAGCAGAATAGATCTCGTATTTTTATATAATTACTGCACATTTATGTTTTATAACATCTTTGGTATAAGTATTCAATAAGTTTAATTTGTCACTTGGAATCAATATTTTAAATATCAAGCTAGGTGGCACTTGTGGGCCACGTTTTTTTTTATCATCATAAAGTAAATTCAGCATAACGACACTAAAACTAATTCCTTAATCTTTGTAAAATACTAATGCGATTAAAAAATACTATGTACACTCTAGCATCATTTTAATACTAACTAACGATTCAATTCTAAAAGTTAATAAAATTAAAATAAAATTTTTATGTTTATTATTTTAAAATAAATATTTCTTAATTCAACCAATCTATATATATATATAATTACTAGCTAATAGCATTTAATAAAACTTATTTAATTTTATTTATATGGCAATTTGACAATTTTCTCTCAAAAAATCGTTACTTTTGATGTATTTAATCTTTTATTTAATTATTAAATAATCAACACTAATCAATTCAAAATTACAAAAATAATTTTAAATTTTTGATTACTGACAGTTGACCACATAATGTGTTAACCGTATAATGTGATTAGATGTTGTTATTGCGGTAACATTTAAATTATTATTTTTAAATAAAAAATGTGTTTAAAATTCCTAAATAAATAATAAATAATTCACAAAAATACGTACCAAAATATACATTACATCCAATCAGATAAACGCAATTTAAAGAAAAAATATATTCAAACTCCTTTAATTATAAATTTGGCTAGCACAAAGGTATAAAGAAAATAAATAATCATTAAATGATACAAATAACTCACAATACGTTATTAACATCTGTGCAAATGCACATGATCAAATACCAGTTAATATATATAAGAAACCTAATAATTGTTTGCCGCAACCAAAAGGTACCCCCAAATGGAACGGGGTTTGTGACTTTGTTCAAACTCTGACGTAGAAGCATACCCACGTGTCGATCTTCCATTGGTTTTCTTACCTACACCGTTGTCACCTGCCATCAACGATGTTCAATCTCCACTCTTCTTCTTCTCCTCCGTAAACGCAACCCCAGATACACGCCCCCTCCCTTCATGGCGTTGAGATCCCGCCGCCGTGAGCTGTCCTTCGATATCCTAGCGACCGAATTCGACGACGTCATGCCCACAGCCACCGTGTCTCGCTCGATTTCCGATCCCCTCGCTCTCCAGAGCGACGCCGTTTCGTATTCCCCTCGCCGGAAGAAGAAGAAGAATAAAAAGAAGAGCACGAAAACTATCCCGCAGGACTCCGTGGTTTGCGGAACATCTGCGATCAACGGTGACGTGAATTACAGTTGTACGGCGAGCACAATCACGGAGGCTGCCGTGTTACCTGATGTCGAGAGCGAGGGAAATCATCGAGTGTATATGGTGGCGTCGCCGTTTGGGGAGCTGAGGCAGAGGAATGTGGGTAATGCGGTGAACGGAGGCAGTGTGGAGATAGCGAGTGAGGAGAGTGTAAGTAGTATAAATGATAGGAATATAAAGGAAGAAACAGCGGAGGATGTGAGTAATGTTAAGGAAGTCAATTCGGAGCACCGCAGAGTGGAATTGAACGGGAGGAAATTGGAGAAAGAGGGGACCCTAGATTGGAAGCGACTGATGGCTGAAGATTCAAGTTGTAAGTTAATTTCGATGATTTAAATTGTTGATTATGAATTTATGTGAGTTCCTGTATGTTGAGGTTAATGGTGAACTGATGATTTCAAGAATGGATATAGAGAAAGTAGATCAAGCAGGGTATTATCAACGCCTGCAAATGGGTTGTTATTTTGAGACTAGCACCCCTTAATAATTTATGAGCTATGTTCTTGGGAATAACACCAGATGTGGGTAACTAACATTTGTGAGCTATTTTCTTGGGAATGCCTGATAGGTAGTGGCACAAAAACTCAATTTATTGTACTTCTAGACCTGTGGATTCTTTGTTTTCAAAATTTGAGAAGGTGGAATCTTTAATCATGGAAAAGTGTGACTGTGATGCATTTCTGATTCTTCCATTATCATAATCAACAAGTTTTCAAAAACTAATGTTGGTCTATCTTACCTTCTCCTGATAAACACATTTAAACGTTTGTGTTTACCATCTATGAAAACAACATGCCCTCCAATAATTCTATGTTATTCAGATGAGTGTTAGAGAAACCTTCTGGAACTTCTATGATTATAAGGAGTTGTTATTATCCTATTAAAGAGGCAAATGTTGTCTTTATGTTCAATTGAAACAGGATGTAACATTCTTTAGAAAGATTTTGCGATTTAAAAAATTACTTCATAATCTGTTGGGTAATGGAGCTTTCTGCTAGATCTGCTGGCTCTTTGTCTTGTGTTTTGTGGCAGTAAGAGGGGTTTCCAGTTCATGTGTTTTGCCATGCTTATATGTTGACATGCATTTTAATTTCTGTCATCTTTGGGTTATACATTCAAACCATACGTTAAGTGCACATTTGCTAGTAATGGTGATCTTAGTTGATTGATTGGTCATTGTTTTCTTCTTAACCTTATCCTACTCTCCCAGTCATATTATTGTAATTCTTTCCTTTTTTTTATTCCCTCCTATCAGACACATTACCTCTGGATTCACCAATGAAATATTTCATGGAAGAAATGTATGCTGGAAATTCCTTAAGAAACACTACCATCCTTGGCAATGAGAAGGAACGGGAGCGAGTATATGATACCATATTTCGGTTGCCATGGCGTTGTGAACTGGTAAAGTGGTGAACTTCTCTAATTTGATTCACTTGCAAACCTGATGCTACTCATTCTTTACATGTTTCTATATCGTGGATGGCTTGTCATTCCTAGTTTAGTATCTGTATACATTGTCGTTTTACAACATCGTTGTGTCATAATACATGGAATTTAGTTAATGAGATGAGAACAGGCCTTGCAATTCACTTTCAGTTATAATTAGGCAGTTAACACAAATTTATGTACCTTTGGGAACAGTTGTTTGCTTGATTGGATCCAGTTTTTTATTATGTTGTTTGAGTTAAATTTTTTTTCTTTGGGATTTTAATTAAAATATTGGCGTGATCTGATGCAGCTTATCAATTTTGGGTTCTTTGTGTGCTTTGATTCATTTCTCTCACTCTTAACCATCATGCCGACTAGGATCATCATCACCTTTTGGAAGCTTCTTAAAACCAGGTTACTTCTCTCTCTCTCTCTCTCTCTCTCTCTCTCTCTCTCTCTCTCTCTCTCTCTCTCTCTCTCTCTCTCCTGCACCCCCCGCCTGCCCATCTCTCCCACCCTCCCTGTGATATATTGTACCTTCTATAAAAGCTTGTTCGTTTGGATTATGCTGCCTGTTAAATCAGGTTAAGGATTGCAAAACGTGTAAGTTGCTTTTTGCTTGGGAGAACTCTTTTTGTTACATATAATTACGGGCATTTGTTTTGAAAGCAGTCTGTATTTTGAGACGTGAAACACTGACGACAATGTTTGCTCGTGTGTATGTGTGTCTGTTTCTCCTTTAATAAAATAAAAAGTGAAAGATGATTGGATGAGGCTGTTGATTGGAAACATGTGAGTGCATAGTGTATTTGTAAGATACAAAGATCTGCATGACACAGTTCCCAGCCGAACAATCACTTCACCTGAGTTCTAATAGTTGTATGGTTAACATGTTTATTGTAGCTGATAACCATTGATGGCACTTTGTTTCCTGCACAAGCAAACTGATGGTTGTATCAAGGCAATCCCTAGACTCTTCAATGCTATCATGAAAATCTGTGTCATATTTTGAATCTTATATTGATGTTATTCAATTAAATGTTGCTAGATATGAGGTTTGCTTCTCTTCTTAATATCATTGTTAAATGGATCCTATGCACTGTAGCACAAAGTATTTATGTGAAGAATGCATGAGGCGACTTGAAGTAAGGATGATTTGAAACCCCGCAGCCTTCTTTCAAGGCTAGTACCTGGTAAAATTGGGTAGATTCAGAAATAGTAAAATCTTTGAGCATCCTGTCTGGTTGTTGATTGCCGTTAGTCCCTTTATCAGAGTAAACTTCTTTCATAAAATGAATAAACTGTACTAACCTTTGTCACACTGAAAATAGTACATAATAAGAAGACCTGCTTCATTTGAATGGCTTGATTCTGCTGTATTGTTAGTATACGAGTTAATTTCTCCAGGAACCATTTACATTACAGAGTAAATTAACCATATTTGTGGCAGGCAGTTTAAGAGACCTTCTTCAGCAGAGTTGTCTGATTTTGGCTGTTTCGTTGTGCTGGTTAGTGGAGTCACTGTATTACAACAAGCAGGTTTAGTAGTAATGTCAACTTTCTTAAATTAAGCTCATCTGTGTTTGTGTGAGTTTTACCATTGGCTGTGTCGTCATGCCTCAGTTCAGCTAATAAAATTTTGTAGTGACCGTTTATAAATTATTCCAGATATCAGCTTGATTTATCACATGATCCGCGGCCAAGGGATCATTAAACTCTACGTGGTGTACAACGTTTTGGAGGTACGAGAATGTTTTAACAAATTATTTTCCAATTGTGATTTACTTCTGCCCATATGGATGTCAAGTTGTAAAGCATGAAACAAGTTAGTTTTTCCTAAAGTTAGTACCTTTTAACTGAAGTTTGAACTATATCCGAGGAGCAGATTTTTTAGGCTGCCACAATGTGTTCTGTAGAGAAAGAGAAACAGCAAATGTACTTGTAGACATACTGAGCCAACTTCAGAGCATGTGCTAAGAGAAATAAAGCAACCATTCAGAAAGAAAGTTTCTCTTAGGCTTTTCCAGTTTAGCTCTCTCTCACATTCGAGCAATCTTTACTGTCGTGGCAAAATATGGGCTGAAAAACACAACTAGTTTGCAGGCATTCCCTCTGTTTCTTTAATGGTGTAATGTTATGTTGTGAGATGCAGATCAATTCAGAATCTTTCACTTTCTTAATATTTATGATATAGAATAAAACTGCAGGAACACGACAAATTATTTGAGTTCAGATGCAACATAGAACACTGCTGAAAAGGTTATTCGAGTTAATATGACTCTAGCTCACATCATTGCCATATAATGTTTAATACAAGGTGTTCTGTTTTTAGCTACTTCCCTCACCTTTTCTAATAGTTAACACCAGTTTCTGATCTTTGAAGACTTTGAAATCATCTGCTAGACATCAGTGGCTCCTCTTATGATATGCATTTCCCTTCACATAAAGAATGGAGAATGTTCAAATCTAGTGTTCCTCTTGATGCAGGTATTTGATAAATTGTGCCAAAGTTTTGGTGGTGATGTAATGCAAGCTTTATTTAATTCAGCTGATGGACTTGCGAACTGTTCACCAGAAAACATGCAATTTTGGCTATGGAGATTTATTTCAGATGAAGCCTTAGCTGTTACTTCTTCGAATATCCTTTTCATCATTATACTTCTAAGTTTCATGTTTTATTGAATTATTATTTTTTTATCGGTATTATACTTCTAAGTTTTAATGCTTCCAGTTGTTGTGTTAATAAATCTGGCCCCAATTGTGGATCCTTAACTACACATACTTGTTCATTCATTTATCTTATTAGCTCAGGCCATCACTTTGTCCACATGTATAGTTGCTCATAATAATGCGCTGTTCGCTATGCTTGTGTCCAACAATTTTGCTGAGATCAAAAGTAATGTGTTCAAACGATACAGCAAGGACAATGTCCAGAGTTTGGTATACTTTGGTGAGTAATTTTCTTTTTTCCAGTACAAAGTTATCTAGTACTTTAATGCTTTGTTCATTGTGCCCCTTTCCTGTAGGTCATGTGTGCACCTTCAAATTCTTGTTCATATGGAATTGCTCACTTACCCACCGTAGGCGCATTAAGATATGCCCACCAACCACGTGCCAAGATATCATGATTTTTAAACCACATACTAACAGTGTATGGTATGCTAATCTCTTGTCACATCAGTTGGTGGGCATATTAACTTGTGCCCGCCACGGGCAGGAGAGTGGGCCTGCTGGTTGAGAAAAATATTCAGATCCCAGTTGTAGTATATTCTAGTACTACGCTTGCCACCATACTTTATTCTCTAGTATGGATTTGCAACTACTGATAAAATTACTTTGTTTTGGGCCTTAAGCCTTCAAATCGATTCAACTAAAAAGTTACTTCTCTTCACTTGCTTTTGTTTTATGCCTAATTAGTTACTTGAATTGAGTGTCAACTCTCCTCTTTTTATGATCGTACGATGTTATATTGATCTATATATGTTTTTTGTGTAAATAGTTTGATGATGTTACATTAGAGTACTTGTTTTTCCGTTCTTGGAAAAAAATGAAAAAAAATTGTTTCTAACAACTTTGTGTACATTGTGCTCATCCCCAGATTCAGTCGAGCGATTCCATATTTCAGCATTTGTTTTATTTGTTCTAGCTCAAAATATACTGGAAGCTGAGGGTCCTTGGTTAGAAAGCTTTGTATGTGTAAGTGACGGATCATACACTGAAAAATTCAGATCAAAGGAAAAATAAAAGACATAGTTCAGTTTTGTTTTGTTTGGTTTTTACATTCTGATCACTTCTCTTCTTCATTGTCCGCAAATGCTGCAGAATGCTTTGGTTGTTTACATGTGTGAAGTGATGATTGATATAATAAAACACTCATTCATTGCTAAATTCAATGACATAAAGCCCATTGCATTCTCCGAATTTCTCGAAGATCTTTGCAAGCAGGTATATGCATACTTTTCATTAGACAAAACAACTCATATTTTATATGTGAGTGTTTATGCATTGTCATTTTACTTTTTTATTTTCTGTTTTTGTCCAGAAGTTGAATATGAAAACAGAGAACGGAAAAAAGAGCCTCCTAACTTTTGTTCCTTTAGCACCAGCTTGTGTGGTAAGCAATTGCTTGAACTCTGCAAATCTATATTCCTTGCTGTTACGGAATCATATGTTCGAAAGACATTGAATTTTGTGTTTAACATCTTCACTTAAGGGAGACTACTTTATGCCCTGCTATTAAAATTAGTCCAACTATGCAATTTCTAAAATCCTTGAACATTTTGAAATCAATTGTTCTGGATGCTGTGAAGCACTTTTCTAAGAATATTCATCCCCCAGCCCCCTCTTCTCACTTACTACGCAAAATCCTTTGTATAGTTCAACATTTCATTTTTATACCAAATATGCATTTTCACTTGCTGTTATGATCAAGTTATAGTGTTCGACTGAGTATGCATATTTTTACCTTTTAGTGTGAAACTTCTTTGCTGGTGTTTAGGTAATTCGTGTTCTTCGACCAGTTTATGCGGCCCATCTCCCTTACAATCCACTCCTGTGGAGAATATTTTGGATTTTGGTGTTGTTGGCCATGACCTTTGTGATGCTTGCCAGCCTTAAGGTGATGATTGGTATGGGCCTCCGAAAACATGCCAGATGGTACGTTAGAAGATGCGAGAGAAGGAAGTTTCACTCAGACTAAGTGTATTATTATACGTTTTTATGCATGATACGGCAAAGTTCGAGCATGGTCTCAGTTTACACATGTAAAGGCCACTGATGGTGGTTGGGCAACCTTTTATATAACCCTCGGTGATAGGATGCAACACTCATCGAGATTTTATGAAATATCCGGCCAATTTTGTATTACCATTAATAGGAGAGTGATTGTGAATATATATAAGGAAAGAGAGGAAGGGCTTAATTACATGTGTTAAAAGAGCTTGTATAGTCTTAATCATGTTTAATTCTTCTCAAAGACAAGATGGAAATGGAAAACTAATATTTATCTCATCTTTAACTCTTAAGTTAATTGGAAACATACGCAGCATATTCATGGGATTATTGAAAATTCTGGGAGGTTTAAGGGGTGTTTGTTTATAATTGTTTTCCAAATACATACTTAAAGTTTGACTCAATTTTAAGTTAATGTTAACATTTTTAATATTATCAATATAATTAAATAATATCAACTAATCATTCTTACACATCAAATTAATTTTATTTAAATCTCTCTCCTATTTTTACATCTAATCAACTATAATTATTATATTTAAAATATTATTTTAATATCACTCACTAACAACAATCCATACTATATTTTGAAAATAAACCATGATTAAGAAGAAAACTCGTTTTTTTGTTTTTTTTTTTTT